TGATATCGCTGACTGACAGATAGTCTTGGTCCAAGTCTGGATTAGGATGTTGCTCCTCTAATATGCAGCCAGTCCCAACCGCCTGGCAATCGCGGTCCTACCGTTGTGGCGTCAGAGATCGCTATCATATCAACGAGATGAATCAAATCTAGTCTTCGGAACTGGGGTTCGCGTGCCAAAGTTCCCAGGCCTAAGACAGGATTCGATGCATCTTGTTGATAGCGCTTTTTACTGTATATAGGGTGAATTACAAAAAAAAAAGAAACCCAAATGTCGGGACCATTGTTTTAGTGAAGTTCTGCATGTAGGACTGTAATAATCTAGATTATGAAAGCCCAATTCATAAGTTTTTTTTAGCACAAGAATCATTCAAATCACTCATGAAATTTTTAGGTTACGGAATTTTAAACACAACCACCGTTTTAAAGTTCTGTCCACGGATCACAAAAAGGTAAGGGTTCTTTCAGCAAAACGAAAACAAATCGCATAGGGATGTGTGTGAATTGTTTTCGTTTTGCTGAAAGAACGCACTCCTTATTTTTGTGATCCGTGGACAGAACTTTAAAACGGTGGTTATGTTTAAAATTCCGTAGCTTGAAAAGTACATGCGTGATTTGAATGACTCGTGTACTAAAAGAAATCTTATGAATTGGGCTTTCATATCCTAGATTTTGAAAGTGCCACACGCAGAACTTCACTTACTTCACTTACTCACCCTGTATATAAAAAAAAACACGTTGCTTTAACTTGCATTAAAGAAACAATCCAGATCAAGTTTTGGACCAAGAAGTAAATAGAAAGAAAGACGGAGTTCTTTCCCTGTACTGAAGAAAAATGGCCCAATTATTGGTTTGTGTTGGCAGTAATATACAGGGTGGTTAAAAAAAAAGGACACCCACTTTTGACAGCAATTTTCACTTACTTAATGAGCTTATTTTGAATATTTGTTCACATAGTAGTAAGGTATAGGCCTTTTACTTTGCATGGTGAAAAAAAGCTTAGTGAAAGTCGCAAAAATAGTGATATTATGCTAATTTGAATACAAGTCACCAAAATCAGTCTTGTCCACGGGTTATTTTATGTAAATTGGACGTTTTCGTAGTTCATACAAATTCAAAAACCTTCCCACCAAAATATATTTTGCCCTGGTAACTTTTTATTGAAGCTGTCCAATTATTCATGTCAGTGTTAAGATCATCTACTCAATGAGCCGTTGGCTTAAGTTCATTATTGCATAACATTACATAATACATGTATAACAATCAAATATAATGCCCTTTCAAATAAAGCTCCAATAGCTGAGCTCAGTCAAGCGAAGGGAATGTATACCTCCGTGGACAAAACAGGTTTCGCACATAAAATGTTCAAATTAGCATAGCTCAACAACAAAAAATGTGCAAATGCAACGATTTTTTTCGTCACAGTTGCTTAAAAGGCCAGTACTTTAATAGCTACTAATCGGCAGTTAAAAATACTTTGTAAAAATAGGTGAAAATTGCTGTCAAATGTGGGCGTCCCTTTTTTTTTAACCACCCTGTATAGACCAATGGAATCGGAGCTTACTTGCGCCGCATACTCGTGGGCGTTCTTGCCATCTGCCATACTCGCAGTGCATGGTGTCCTGCGAGAGTAAGAAGTCCGGCTGGGTCGGGTCCTCTCCGTCGAAATGATATCCGAAGCGACAGCCATAGGTGAGCCACCGCTCGTCTCCCGTGGGTGATGTGACGTCCAACACCACAAACGTGGCGAATGTCTCCCTGAACTCGTAAACAGTACAATCTGAGAAGAAGAAATATAATATGTTTGATCAGATTTATATAATTTATTATGCATATTCCCAAGTTACGTCTATCTTAATATGAAGATCACAAAATTCAGCTGTCCACCACTGATCATTTACCGTTCTAAGAACTGAGAAATACCCATTCGATACAACGAAACGTGGACTGTTTCCCCACCTCGATGAATGGGGGAGACCTTGCAAAGGAAAACATACCAAAATCGCCATTAATATTTCAGGGAAAAAATGGATGACTTGTTCCTCATAAGTATTCAAAACACAAAATCTGACAGTAAAAACAATGTTTTAGTCTTGATTTAAATGATTAAAATATCATTTGCATTTGAATGCTTGTGTGTAATCTGTAAGTCCTGAGCTCAATGGCTTCAAATGGCATTTCATGGACAGCTATTTATATGGGTTCCTTAGAAATATTTGCAATATATTTGTACATGTATCCTGCAAATTAAACCGTCGATTTCGTATTCATGTCCTGACGATCTTACCTTGGTACGTTTCATCCAGCTGAGCAGCAAGTACCAGTAACAATAAGAACAGTCCATCGTTTGTTTTCATTTTGAAACGACCAGAATGGGAATCATTAATTTTGTAATTACTGAAATAAGACGGGACGGGCTAAACTTTTGCGATCGCATGCCATCGTGACTGAAATTTCAAACTCAGCCTTGGTCGCGCGCGTACCGTGCACGGTACGCGCGGTATAGAGTATGGAATAAAAGACTGGCGTCGTGATTTGGCGCAGAAACAATAACATTCCTCATAAATATATGATACGGCGTGGCCTAGTATGGGCTTTATTCGCGGGTCGGCAATATTAAATTAAAATCGAGGTAAAATCTTCATTTTTGGAACTTACGAAGAGAAATGAAAGCAATTACATAAAGTATGTTACAAATTAATACCAGTCTGCTCTGATGAATAATTTAAAATTTGTGGTTAAACATGCCTTAATGTTTTAAGCCAGATTTAAAAAGAAACCAGAGTGAGGCTAGAATATTTCAATAGTCTGGCACCATACCATTCAAATGTTCACAATTTACAAAATGCATTCAGGGAACACGACAAAAATGGCTTCTTCGTGAAAAAAGGTCCATTGCAATTTGTTTTACCTAAAAAAAACCTCTTAATCCTAAGGGCAACCAGAGATCGCCAGAATTTAACTTTTATTATTATTATTAATATAAGCACAAACATAATTTTGAATGTCTGATTAACACGAAGACCATGCATAATGTTCTACATTTATAAAGAGAATGCTGAAATAAACCTCGTTTGTTTTAATTTGACGTGACAGATGTTACCTATTTCTTGCATGTAATACATGTCACCGTCAGACTGGCGTCGGATGCATGCATATATACCTAGCAAGCGACCATTTGCCGTTGGAAAAAGTCCCACAATAAGGGCATCCCTTTTTTATTCTTGGTTGTCATTTCCGACCGACCCAAATATTCCCGCCGACCCTGTCTGGACCCCCCCCCCCTCCACACACACACACACACACAACATGAATGAATAAGAAATACCACATTCAGGCAAAATGCAGGCTAATTCTGTGTTATTTGAACAGGGCTATCATGGAAAATAACTTGATTTTACTCGTATGGCGTATGTAACAAGTGCATTCTCATAGTGTTTTAGTTTTGTTCAATTTAAAGTGCTTGATTTCGGATTTTTTTCGCGATTAATGCATGTACACAGTATTTTCTTTAAATCATATTAAATTGATTTTCTAACGGTTCCCGACAATTTTTAAACCTGTCGTGTCGTAATATCACGATCAATCATTGGACGATATTCCAATACAATGCAATATGTTTTTCGGGAGTTATAGTAGTCTCCACAAAGAGTGTCTTATTTTCAATTTAACGCCGATTTCGGTGGGCAGATCGTGATCCTCGTCTTTACGGTGCTGGCCGCTATTTGTATAGCGCGCCCTCTTTTGGAAAAAATTACTGTTGACAAAATGGTTTTGCAATGGTTCTTCAATGGTTCCCGTCCTAACATCATGACCAATTATTGGACGAAATTTCGATTCAAAAAGCACTTTGTTTTTCTTGAGTTATCGTCTCCCCAAAAGAGTGTTATATTTGTGTTGAATGAAAGCCGACTTGGCGGTTGGGCCGCTAGTCTTTACAGTGGTGACCAGTATTTGTGTAGCGCGCCCTCTTTTGAAAGAAATTGGTTCCCATCGATTTTCAAACTTTGTGTCATTTATCACGACCATTGATCTCCACATGGAGATCAATGATCACGACCATTTTTTTGTGTCGAGATTTCAATTCAATGCAATCATGTTTTTCTGGAGTTATCGTCCCCACAAAGCGTGTTATATTTTGTTCAATTAATTTTGTTCAATTAATTTTTTTCGCTATTAATGCACTGCATTTTCTTTAAATCATATACAATTTATTCTCCAACGGTTCCCGTCATGACATAATTATAATCGTCTCCCAAAGAGTGTTCTATTTTGTTCAAAGTTAAAGCCGACTTCGGTTTGGGTAGATCGTGATCCGCGTACACAACGGTACCCAACAAGTGAAATCTTTAGAAAAAAAGGGTACCAAGTGATATATTTCGAAATAGGGATAAAAAAGCTACCCCGGAACTATGATCCGCTGGAACGTTACGGACGTTCCTGACCTGTGGTGTGGTGACCAATAGGCCTCTATAATAATATTATTTGTGTAGCGCGCCCTTTTTCGGAAGAAATTACTGTTAGCTATGTACGGGAGTGCCCTTACACACTGTATTAGTTTTTGTTCTCATTATAATGTTTTTTCTTCTTCAACAGTTCCCGTCGATTTTCAATGTAATGTGTTTTTCTTGAATAATCGACTCCTCATAGAGTGCTTTTATTTTTGTTCAATTACAAAAGTGACTCGTTTTCGGATTGATTTTTTTTTTGCGATTAAAACGCTGTATTTTCTTTAAATCACATTAAATTGATTCTCCAATTGTTGCCATCAATGTTTAAACATATCGTGTCATATACCACGACCAATCTTAAGACGAAATCTCAATTCAAAGCAATATTATGTTTTTCTTGAGTTATCGTCTCCTAGTGTTTTATTTTCGTGATCCGAGTAGAGCGGTGGTTGTTAGCTAGCGCCATACAGTAAGAAGAAAGCGCGCCCTCTAATCTTAATTAGGCGCTGCCATCTATCCTAACTGGTTCCCGGCGGTCACAGGAAGGTCTGTGATAATTAATCGTGTTATTAGGAAACCAGCGCAAGTGCTCTCCATGCGAAAAAGACGTCGACTGTGGATAGTTTGAAGGAAATAATCGCCAGTCATGGGTGAGTTTGCCGTGAATTTAAGGAATATATAATAACAGGGATGAGGCAGATAAATATTTTTGATGGTAGTAATGTGTGTGCATGATAAATTCGGGGAGAGATGGTGTTATAATTCCCCAAAAGCTTGAGTTTTGGCCCATCCCATTTCATTATTGTTTAGCTGTCATTACGTACGTTGTGTGACACTCAGTCAATTGCATGCGTGTGCTGTCACGCGACTGCGTATAGCCTACATGCAGACATGTGTACGTGTACGGACGTAGGGGGTGCAATTGTGTCCAGTTTACTGTGTGTGAGTCATTTAATTTTTTGCATTCCATACCATTCCATTCATAATGTGTGGTTTCAGTTCTGAGAAAACTATTTCATTCAAAATTGTCCAGAGTGAGAGCCTTTGTCTGAATTTGTCCCGGTCTCTGCCTGGCCTGGGTCAGCATATTATCCCGCCAGGCCCATAACTGGCCTAAAAAAAAAGAAGTTATGTTGGCGTAACGGGCCAGAAAAAATAGGGTAGGTAGGTCGTTTTTTGTTTGTTTTTTTTTGTTTGTAATCCCAGCAACGAAAATGACATTAAGCCGGAAGTAGTACACGATAACAAAAGAAAACAAGGCTACACACAATAGTTGTATACTTATAAACTCTGAGTGACATATCAAAAAGTTTTATTTGCCGTTTCATCTGCATCGACATCTTTATATGGACCCGATTCTTCCTTTGAAGTCTGTATTTTTAGCATGGTGTAACCCGCTTTTACACCATCGGCACAGCTCTGGGCGATTACCCCCAGCTCTAGACTCAAATTTATCCGCATTAAACGGTCGAAAATGACCGAAGATCCCCATTTGCCGTTGATGGAAACACTACGCTTCGGTACCGGGCGCCATGATGCGACGGCGTACGCGCGTAGCCATGGGCCGAGGGGGCCGGCCGGGACGCGTCGGCCGCCGGGGTTACAGAATAGTTTACCATTTTTAGAATAAATATATATCAATTGTTATCGTGTAAAATAGTGGAAAATTAATTAAAATAATTTATATTATAATGAACTATTTTTTTTAACATGGAATAAATAGCGAAGTATTTTCAATAGTGTATGTAGCAGTTCGCGCCGTGCAACAGTCTAGGACGAGGCTATACATGTACTGTACTACATGTACATGTGTATCTATCATGCATGCATCGTGCATCGATCTCCGCACGCGCACTGCCTGTAGGCCTGCGCGATCTTCTGCATGTTCGTTGTGTCATGGAGAGGAAGGTGCAAAACATTGTGCACTCCAAAGTTCCACGCGCGCTATCGTCATACAATTGAGGAGAAACGGTCAGAAATGGTTTGAAAACGTATTTAAAATTCATTTCTATAGATTTTAATTATATTTCTTCCCTTCCAAAAAAAAAAAAATATCCAGGGTCGGCCGCATTTTAGGGTCGGTCGGGTTACGCCAACATAACACTTTTTTTTTTTAGGCCTAATTATAGTCAGACAATTTTCTGTCATTTTAGAACTTAATGTAATAATGACATGAATGAACACTTTTCTCCTTTGTATATCATAAATACAAGATGGATGGTCAGTGGTCATTGAAGTAATTGGTGCAAGACAGTGGATATCTGGGAAAGAATGTAGGCCTAGTATCCAGACGCCACTTCAACGGTTGTTTACAAGGTCTATGGAGAGTCAAGAAAATTTCTAAGTAGGCCGTAGGCCTATTTCCTAACGAAATTGGAAATTTTTCTCAGTCCCAGATTAATGTTTTTTCAACATTTTTGGCATGACTGACCTTTATTGAGATGATATATGAAGAAGTGGCGTCAGGTTGCACCATTCTTTCCGATTTTTGGTCGGCGCCAGTTTGTTCCAGTAAACTGTGTACAATTACATCATATTGGCTGGGTCAGCATTCTTGTACTGTCTAGGGGTCTATTATTACTTTATTAGTAGTAAATGCTGGTTTGCTAAAGGTACCAAAGACGAACAAACTAACGTTTACCAAAAGAAAGCCAACACTGCCGATATGACATAATTTTATATGAGCCAATCAGAGAAAGCCTCCTTGAAATAACTTTAAAAAAAGTTCCATATATGTATTTAATAATCATATTAGAATTGGAGGATTCAGGACTGTTAGGGTTGATACAAAGTTTAACAAACTTGACAAAGACAAGTAATTTCAAGGATGAACATAATGAGTATGATGATAGCGAACAAGACAAGACAAATAAATGACCATTTGGCACACACACAATTGTTGATATTTACAAAAGTGGAAATAACTTCGCACCCTCCACAATTATTGGCAAACCCTAACTCCCTAGCATGTTTTACTAGGAACCATACCCATCCTGGCAAATTCCAACACCATTTGAGAAACTGCACACACATTTCTGACATTGATTCTGGAGGTGTGCCCTTCCCAATGTAAAATACTGCCATTGTAGTGGTACTGTACCCATCCTGACAGATTCCAACAAAACATGCCATGGGGTTTGATGGGTTTGATGGGATGAGTTCTGTTAGGGAAGAACCCCTAACTCCCTACTGACTTTAGTACTGGACCAAGTCTGCCAAAATCCATCAATACATGCTTTGCTTTAGGCCTCCAGGCCCAAGTCCATCATACTCCATCAATATTTAGTCAAACCAGGCCTGTAGGACCAAGTCCCCCAAAGTCCACCGAAGTAGGGGGTGAATTTTGTTGTAGCTGGGGACATTCTGTTTCTCTTTCCTTGTGGGTTTTGTATGCCTCCTTCAGTGAGCTCCAGCCATAAAAAAATATCTCTGCTTATCACTGTACTTGTGTACGACTTCAATTGAACTCAATCTTAATTGAATTGGTTGTGTTTGATGAATAATCTTTCATATGCTCTATTTCATGTTAAACAAATACATCCAAACAGACCACCTAGCACTTAAAAATTAAATGAGAGAGGGGAATCTTTCAAAATATACGAGTTATGGAGATGAAATATCATCTCGTAATGGCTTTTGTTTTTGCTTGCAAATTTTCTGTTGAGTTTTTTGTAATTTTGTTAATTTATTATTTTTTTTTGGGGGGGGGGGGTTGGGGATTTGGTGTCACTTTGTTTTGCTTAACTGCTTAACTACAAAAGGGCCCAATGTATGTTTACAGTATTGTAATTGCTATTTTTGAACAAAATTTTAGGCAGTTTACTGTTGGTCTTACTTAAGTGAAATGATGAACCTGCAGGATAATACATGCATTATTTAGGGCCTACCGGTACATGGTTGTTTTTATCAGGAGGTACAGATGCAGATGTTGCCATTTTCTGTGGTCAGTGTTTTGTGAAAGGCATTGATGACCGGTGAATGGTATTACTAGTGTTCTGGTGTGGTTGAGTTAACGTCTTGAATGAGAGAACCCAGTGGTCCAATCTGTTCCGTATATTTATCCCAAAGTCTGAGTCTGGACAGAGCTACAGGGAGGCGTTCAAGCAGATGTAAAGTTCGGTCTGTCTGACCCACTGACCTCTTGTACTACTAACAGGAGTGGCTGACAAGGCGTCTATCATGCTGAAGCAACCATCCGCAAACTTTGTTCCCTGTACATGTATTTTGCATTCTATGAGTACATACTCTTGGATTCAGATTTTATTTTTAAAACTGCAAACATGTTCACTTTAGACATTTTCATTATTTGTTTTGCCATTTTGAAAAACTCTATCAAGAATTTGTGTAAATTGTTGTGCTTACCCTAACAACAGTCTTGAATCCTCCAATTTAAGTATACACATGTAATTTTTTTAACATGTCATGACATACGTGTGCATGTTCACATGTTCAACATTTTTAAGAGTGAATGCCGTAGGTAAATTATGCTTTAAATGATTCATAATTACGATACTTTATGAATTGGTTTGAATGCCTTGACACATGTCACATCATAAAGTGGTCCTTACTGCTCATGTGGATGTATGCCTTTATCTGAAATTGCTTTAGCAATCACCATTATCATTACTGCCACATGCAGCATGCAATTACCTCTTTACATAGCGCAGTATGTATACATTGCACAGTGTACATGTTGGCAGTTTTGTTACACGGTGGGGAAACCTCGCCTGAGGCAGTGCGTTTGCATTAGCAACAAATGGTGGAAGAATAATCCTTGGATTTCTTCTGGGGAAGGAGCATGTACGTGTACAACACTTTCCCAGTTGGTAGGGCCGTAGGGCCACTATACCACATCCATCATTACACCATGCAGTTATGCCATGCCTGGCGGGCCCTTTGTCCCCTGCATAATGACTTTCTCCTCATGAGCCACAGAATCCATGAGACTGAGGCGGAGAACAATGGCAGTCTTTGATGGGGCAAAGCCTTCAGAGGCCAGCCACATGTTTACTTATAGGGTTTGTGTGGCTTAGGGTTATATGCCTGGGCGATTGCAGCCCAGCTTTGGTATGTTCAGCGGTTTATACCTGCCCATAATATGTATTATCGATTATTCTAACATCTGAGATTGTTTTTATGCTTCATTTTCTATTAGGGCGATACATGTTTTGTATGTGTGGGATCTGGATTATAAACTGTGGATTATAAACTATTAAACGGTACATGTACAAATGTGCCACCCTACATATGGTCAGAATTGATTATCTTGTCAGCCGAAACAGCTCTATCTGCTGATATCAGATTGTCGCACACAGATACTTCCTTTTTTTACCCCAAGGCCTACGTACGTTGTTCACGTGCATGAATGTGTGATACCTCGCACCGCTCTTTAATGCCGGTGCATGACCCATCGACTGCAAAGGTTAACTAGCCCACGACAGGAAGAATGCACTGAATTCATAAGAACACTGAATCCTAAACCTGTGTGTGGTTTGTCAGACTGGAGCTTGACTGACACAGTGATTTATGGAACCATGAAGAAACAGTGCCATCGTGCTAAATATCATTGACCGCCACTCTGATATATTTCTTCTGACAACTGGAATGTTTTCTTTTTCAAGAGAGGAATAATTGCCAGACAGTTGTTAGTTTATTCCTGTGCCAGACAGTTGTTCATTTATTCCTGTGGTTCTTTCTTCCTCTCTCTCCCTCTGTACTGGAATATTTCCTGACTGATCCTGCTTGGACGTTCAACTGACTTGCGGCTGGCTTCCTGTGAACACCGTCATGCCTGTGCTTACTACACTAACAGCTGTAAGTATATACACCCTGCCTTTTGTTTCTGGTCTGCGTGAGTGTAGTGTTGACTGAGTGAGGATTGATATCAGAGATCAGTTGAAGTTCAAACTGTGTACAGTCTTAGTTATAATCCTCAGTTGGGTGTTTGAGAGATTAGTAGTAATTTATAGGGTAAATTCCTTTCCCCAATTGCCACCTGAAAAGTTGTGATAAACTTGTACACGTATGAATCTGTTCTGGTGTACAGTACATGTACTTGATTTGTGTACGTGTAATGGCATTGTAAATGGTAGGAACCTGTTCTAGATTATTACGTGATCGGGTACCCATAACCAACTTTACAAATTACTTAGTAATTTCTCAGACAATGAAAAAAAAAGTTTTGAAGTCATTTGTGCCCAGGGAATTTTCAAAATAAAAACCAGGCCACATGGGAAAACAAAACATATTTCACATTTAAGGTGCTCGCAATAGCTGCAGTTAACACCGTAAAGCAGCTCACTGTACACACTTGCATGTGGCTGTATTGATGCACCGATGCGGTATTTATATCGTGCAGACTTTTGTAAAATTTCAACAGCAACTTCCAAGATTTGTATGTTGGCATGTTTGGCTTTGGTTTCTTTGACGGGTACCCAGGTACCCATATTTTTTTCAATCGGGTACCCGGTTCCTTAAGCACCCGTAAACGCACGTGTACCCCTACTAAATGGATTTATTCAAAATGGTGCATACAGTGTACTTGATGTACATGTTCATCTACCAGTTTGTTTTTATTTTTATAAAGCTTTTTTGGTACTACATGTACATGTATTTTACATGTTTATTAGTCATCACATTTGTTTTTGGCAAACGGTGCCTAGTTTAAAAGTTTGATTCATACCAAAATTGGAGATAATTCGGTGTTGGGAACTGGTTTGGAAATTGATAATCCACATGAACACGAATCCACAAGACTACACTACATGTATTCTTGAAAATGTGTCATTTACACAAAACCTTTGTACCTCTAGTGATGCAATGACTTTCATTGATGAAAGAAAAATGAAATTTGCTGAATTAAGAAGTGATTTTCAATGAGTTCCACATACAGACTATACATAATATGAACAAACTGAGAACTACATGTGCATTGAACTACATGTAAGTTACGGCTGCACTCACTTACTAGGTTTCACCACGCCCACCATTAAGCACTCAAAACTTGTAAAAACAGGAAAAGAGTTGTGCAATGAATATGTGGTCCATGCAGTAAATGGCAACCCGGAAGTGCACTTCCTCTTGTTTTGGCCCATTTACATACACAATGTATGCTACAATGTAAGAGTACGTTGTACATGTATGCGGACTAAAACAGATCTCTATGGTTAGGCGTTTTGAATAAAAGCACAAACAGGTACATATTTTTATGTATGTTTGGATATATTAAACCCTGAACTGTAATTATTTATCATCAGTTTGTTTGTACACGTGTACATGAAATTGAATGTCACAGAACGCACTTTTAATACAAATTACACATATAAACAGATGCAAGGTACAGTGTATGACAGAGTTGTCATTTAAATTTGAATGCATTTTTACTTCCATAACATTTAAACATTCCCATTCACAGAACATTGCATGTATATTTACTTAAACCATAGATAACAAAACTTGTAATAATGGCCATTATATTCCCACATAATTTTGATACATGTACATGTACATGTATGTATTTAGGTTGACAAAGTACAAAACTGCTTGTCTAAAATGTACACATTTGCGTATACATGTAGTTTGGTCCCAGAAAGCACTTTTTTTCAAGCTTGTCGAAATCCTCGTCTGGTTTTTTTCTGGCCTGAAAAAAAATTACGTCTTTATTTGGCTGTCCCTTTAAATTGTACATTTAGCCTTGCAAGGACCATGACCCAGAGTAAACCACAACCACATGACATCACATTTCCTGACGGCTTGGCAGTCAACCCCACACACACGCGGGGCACGGCCACCCACCAAACATCGAGAATGTTTAGGGGCCTTACTCACTTCCTTTGGGCCCCTGTCTCTCTGCCCCCAATTTCCCTTTAACTGCAACTTTTCAAGCAGGGGGAAAACTGACTGTCAAAGTGACTGTCAGACATGAATTTTGCTTGAAAAACATGTTCACCCCCTATCTTTTGGGCATATATTTACAGTGTGCAGTGTAGTCTAAGGCATGCATCTTTTCCTCGGATCAGCTGATTTCCTCTGTCCTACCCCATGTCTGCTATTAAAAACTAAAAAAAAAAAAAAACACTGTACAAAGTCTTCTTGTATGTAAATCTTGGACTTGCCTCTTTTTTGGGGGGAGGGTTGACTTTACAGAACTTAACATGCCCGAGTCTGTTTGTACAAGTGTACGTACATTGTGTATGAAACATTACTACTTTTGTGAAGTAAAGACAAAGACATCCTGTACATACAATTACAATGTGTCCATGTGCGGTGTAAATGTAGGCCTACATATTTACATTGTACATATATGTAAATTATCCCGAGCCCTGCTGAATCCACATCTTTTGTTTTGGATTACCAGTGTGTTTATCTTGTGCAGTGAACAAAAGGCCTTATACATACATGCTGTACACTTTGATACAAATTGGGTATGAAACACGATCATGTCAAATCTCTGACTTGCCCCCATTTTGTACTAAAGTACATTTTTATTGAAGACAATAGTTTTGCTTTTACCTATTTTTGCCATACAGTTCTGACATGTACACTTTAGTTTCACTCTTGAATATTCAGTGGCTGAACAAATTGAAAAACCACACCTCTATTGACAAAGTGAAAATGAGTTTCACAAAATGTCTGTCAAGAATTTTGTTTTTCTTGCAAACACAAGCAGCTGGAGTGTCCACAAGAGCAAAAGAAAATCCACTTGAAGTCCCCCGTGGTCTGTTTATAGTCCTGCTCTGAAAGGGTCTAAGCTTTTACAATCCATCCAAGAGTAAATATGGGTCTAGGCCCTGTAGTATTGCAGCTTTGACACAAGTTGTAGGGACTTTTCGGAACTTCCGTCATTCAAACTATGAACTGACAAAAATATCCAATGGGTTTGCATTTCAAAAACATTCTTGCCTCAATTTGTTGCGCAAAGTTCATTTTGGCAATTATGTATGTACATACATGTATGTACAACGGTGTTTCTAAAGTTTTTTGCATCTTTTCTACACACCGGTTCAGGAAGTAGAGTTACATTTTTTTCTAGGTCATAATTTCTTTACAATTCCGGTTTGTGTTAATATTGTTTTAGTCGTGTGCGTGATGTACATACCGGTATGAGAACTAAGCACCGTCGATATCAGAATTTTCAATAAATCGATATATTGGAAATCCAGAATCGAGAATATTCGATATCGATTATCCCATAAAAGTTAAAGACCATAAAGATGACACTTCAAAATGATTAAAAACAGCTTTCTCTGGAGCATATTGGTAAAACTTGGTAAAACTTTTTAAAACAAATCTCAATACTGAGAGTTTGTCCAGAAAGGGATTTAAAAAAAAGTTTTACATTGGGGGAGACCGCGAATTCCAGCGACCGCAGAGCACAATCTGACGCATTTTCGATATGATTCCTCAATATCGAATATTTCGATATTTCGATGTGATTGACAAATTGCTATGGGCCATATCGATATCAAAGAAATAATCGAGTAATAGCGATATATTGACGGTGCTTAGTGAGAACATGTACATTGTAATCTTGTGTTTTGCACAGGATGGGGCCTACTGCTCACATAATCATGATTATAAATTCAAAACACTTTTTATTTCCATTTTTAACTACATGTACGTAGACTAGAAGATGGTCATCAACAACATATGTGTAAGCAATGCAAAGCTTTCTTGAAGGACTCTTCAAGGATAACAATTCCAGGACTTCAGCAGATCATTTGTTGTAATTCAGTGTTCAGGTACCGTACTTAAAAAAATATGGGAATTTCTAAAGTGAAGAACAGCCAGCTCATATTTCTTTTCTATTTAAATCTTTTCTTGACAGAATAAACCCAAGGACATGGAGGGATATGTGGGCTTTGCAAACCTCCCTAATCAGGTCTACAGGAGGTCCGTCAAACGAGGGTTTGACTTCACTCTCATGGTCGTTGGTAGGTACTTTTTTCCTATTTTTTCCCCATTTTACTAAAAAACGGGAGAAAAGAGAAGGATGTCAGTTGAGTTAACAATAAACTACATGCGTTATCAAACGCTAGTGGTGGGATAAAACCCAGAATTTTTTTTTAAACTTCAGTTTGATTTCCACTATCCGGTTTGGATGTTGAAAACCGGATATTCAAGACCAATTGTTACGAATTTTGAGACTTCATTCTTTAGGAACATCTCCCAATTTGCTCATCCCCTTTTTTTAGGCTTGACTGTGAGCTGAATGGGAGCTTTCGGTAAAATCAGATTTACCGTTATTTGGTTTGAAAAAAATAAGGATAAGTAGATTTTGAAATATCCGATTTCTTTCACCAAGTATCAAACACACTGTGAAATTCACGTTTTTTTTCTTCTGGTTGTTTGTATTCTGGGGAGAAAAACACTAATTTTTTGTTCTTTGAAATTTGTCCTGAATTATCTGAAATCCACATTTTCTGCACAGACGCCTTCAAGACCTTCAATGGGCATCAGGTTTCAGTCCAGAGTAATTATGACTTGATAGCGATCCTTCTGCTTAATCCTGTAAAATCCTTGCAAAATCTCCTGGTAGTTTTTGAAGGATATTTGATGGTTAGGGTTAATACAGGGATGCCAGTTATCAGGCTATAGCCTGAATTCTTCTTCATGTTTTTCATCCTTTCACGTGCTGGTAAAATAAATCCACGTGTAGCGCACACAGAGATAAAAGAATTGCGCATGCAGTGGTCCGTGGCAATCACCATGCTAGCTCAATGCACAAATCTATGAATTGTTGAGTCCAAAGTAGTACACGTGTAGTACGTGTTGCAATGTGATAGTGTACCGCAGCACGCTGTAGAAGTGTGACGTCACGCGGGGTCATCCCCAAAAGTGATAGGCCTACATGTATGTCTAAACAATGTCTCGTCTGCCAATTTTTCCATATGATTTGCACACGGGCAATATACATGTACATTGTACATGTATATGAATGTTTTTCTCAGATGTTACGAATAATTAAGACTGGAAAATGGGACAGTACAATGTACATGTACTTTGTACATGTAGCGGACTATAAAAAGGAATGCCTTTATCAAAGCTCACTTGAAGTTGAATAGATTGTGAGTTGAATTGGGACTGGAGGACTTGTGATGGACTTGCAGGGACGTACAGACAGGGACTTGTGATGGACTCGACTACATCCCTGGTCCATAACAGCCCAAGCTGGAGATGAGACGACTTAGAAAAAAGAAAAAACCCTTTGAAGGTCTAGTACTTGAAGGGTAGCCACTTTTGACTTGGCAGTCTGTTCTCCAGATGTTGACTCAGTGCAAGTGGTTTGATTAAAAGCCAGCTGTATCGTATTCTAATGCCATGATGTTTGCATACACTTGCATACGTGTACATTTTGTAAAGTGTTTCTGACACTTTAGGGGGAGGGGTTACAGCTTTCCTTACTTTTTTAAAGCAAATTTTGAAGTTTGTAAACCAAGAAAAAAATGTGGTGTTTTTTTTACAGTCATGGCCAAGTCAGCTTCCAAAATGTCTCAGAAGTTTCAAGTTAGCTTTGAGACCAAACTTGGCAGTAAGACGTGACAGTACTTTCACCAATGAAGACATTTCTGCTGTCTGGTTCATGTCAGCTCTTCTTTCCTCAAAAATTCATACATTTCATAATTGTGTGTACAGCATACCTTTGTTGTGCATACTGTATTTTGAGCACTTACTGTAACGCCAACGATCATGTACATGTACACATATATGTTCGTGTACTTGATCAAATACCGGTACTTGTAGCAAATACGAAACCGTTTCCAGGAATATATGTAGTGATACATGTACTTGTACGCATTTGGCACAGCTCTTGAACACTGGTCTCAAACAGGATTTGCAGACTTGTGCTGCACCATTGAAACAATTACCAGTATAACATGCTCCTATCATAGAGGTAGGAAACACCTCCATGCTCATATATACAATTACTGTGCACACTGCCATAATTTGTTCACAATGTCCAATCTTCCTTGTTTACATAGATCATTGGATAACAGACTCATTATCACAGTCTTGTACCAAACTACAACATGAGTACCACTTCAAAATGCAGTATTGATGATCAATGTCTATCTATACATGTTCGTTTCCCTGAAAATATTTCATGGATGGTTTTCAAAGAGCAGGAAATGTTAAACACTGTTTAATGCAGGCAAGGTGTGTTCCATATACCGTATGGTATATTTAACAATTGTTGACTGCTGTGATGTGGGCGCATATCACCTGAGAGGCAAAGCCTATGCACCCCGAGGGGGTTAAAAATGTCATATCCCACATCACAGCAGTCAATAATTGTTTTGTTACACATGTAGATCGTGCCAATAACTGAAAAAGATATAATTATGGTTGTAACTTACTGTGTGAGAAATAAATTAAATAACTGCGATGTAGCCTTTGATAACTGAAGGTTTTGATGTCCTGCCGGACATGAGACTGAGCGTTTGACGTTGCAGTTCTTATTGCGCAAAGCTAGCGCGCTGGCACTAAAGTGGCAGATGCCACACGCACACGCAATGAACGCATTGCGATATCACCCTCAGTGTGTGACATACATTTTTAATTTTATTGTCAAGACACGTGGCTGTCCTAGACCAATGAAATTACAGTATCCAAGCACACGATATAACAATCCACAATGTTTAAGATGCAAATGAGAAATATGGTGGAAAAAGTCATTTAGTTTGCCTCGTACAAATATTCATACTTGCAGTCACACTCAAAATCTGTCTGGTGTGAGTGAATGTACTTTCAGAACAAGCTGAGTTTTGTTTGCATGTATGCTTGTTTCTCTTTCCCTTCCAAGTTTCACAAGATCGGTCAAGCGGTGGCCTTTAACCACCCCTAACCTTTATACCAAGTCATCAAAATCTCCCCAGTGGTGGATTTCAATGGATTTGGTCCTGAAGCATTATGCGAGGCAGAGCGAGTGATGGATTTTGATGATCATGTTATTCTACTTTAAACTAGTTTTAATACTAAGTAGGGAGTAATGAGATAATGTATTTTTCTATGTGTATGCAAATACCCGGTACCTACAGATACATGGAAGTATTAAAAACTGTACAACAAATCAAATGTACGCACTTCTACAGGTACGGTAGTTTGGTAATTTATTCAAATGAATGAAAAATATACAAACTGCAAAAGAAAAACTTAAAAGTGATCACGCAGAAAGGAAACGTTCATGTCATGTTTGGTACATGTATGGAAGTTTTTTCAATTTTCGTTTTGCCATTTTCAAGGGTACAGTTGTGGTTTTATGCACATTTTTGGTGTACAAAGTGAACAGAAAACCCCTAAACTGAACAGTGTCTCAGTTGTTGTACGGAAAAGCATGGGCGATTTGAAATGTTACAGAAGTGGACTTTTCAATCAAATTTACCAGTTACAGGTGTCAAATATTGTTCATACATTTAAAAAAAAAAGAGGAGTAGAAAGTTGCGCATAATATGTTCCTAACAAAAATTGATTTATGGGCCCTTCAGTAGCACCAGTCATTTTCATAATTTATTCTCAAATCACCAATTAATCATCCCGGTAGATATGTAATTTATTTCCGATAAGCTATCACAAGATTACACTGTACAGTCAAGGTGCTGTATTAAACTCTGCTTGCTCTATTACCAGTGTACACTGCTGAAAGATAAAATCACAAAGCTGTACATAACATACCAGTACATGTAAAAACCAGATGTGTGTACTGTTGGAAAGAAAATGTAACTTGTGTCATATTTATTTTAAATCCAAATCTACAATCCTGCCTGGCCAAAATGGTTGGGAGTGGACACTTGGCAATAACCGCAATCAACCACTCCCCAGCTCCCACGCCCTACAAGAAGGCCGTAAAATGAAAATGAAGTTTAGAAACAGCTGCCGTTTTGTTTTTATTCTTTACACTTTGATAAACATGCAAAGTTTTCACTTTTTTTTTCGATTGGATACATACTTGTACAATTTTTCAAACTGGCAAAAATGTATTCAAATATTCGATTGATGATCAATTATATTCGACTGTTCGGGACAGGGTTGGGTGATTTTATGGTAGTTTTCACACGGAAGTGCACTGACCTGCACTATCACTTGTTTTTCAGCTACCAGCACCCTGTTAGCTTAGGCCAAAAAAAAAAAGTCTCCGGTTTCTGGTATGGAGCTTGCCCAAAAAGTGGTGAGGCAACGCCTTTTTTTTTTTACCGTTTTTTTTCTTCTTCAAAATGTCGGCTGATGACTGCAATTGGTGCCCGACTAAACTAAGTGCAAATATATATGAGAGTCCAGAGAGGCCACATAAAGCTTATTCTTGATCGTAACCTCATCTAAGAACACGTTAAAATTGTGCAGCAGCAGGATTCCAGTCAAACCAGTGAGTTTGGTGGTTTTGAGACATCATCTTTCATTGAAAAAAAAAACTTTTTCATTTTGCCGACGTGCATGGCTACGGCGACACTTGCGCATACCAGAAACCGGAGACTTTTTTTTTTGGCCTTAAGCCCAGTTCATACTTCACGCGAAAGCGAAGCAAAATTCCTGACGTCAACAATACGTTTGAAGCGCGTCCACCATTGTTGACGACATGAATTTCGCTTCGCACTTGCCTTCGCGTGAAGTATGAACCGGGCTTTAGTGAAGCTAACAGCCAGTTTGATGAAACATCTCCCACATACTCTCTGCGGTACAAACATTTGTATCTATGTACACATGGTACATGTACTTACACATTGTGACAAATATAAATACCGGTATTTTGTCCCCAAAATAAAGATTATTTTCAGACATTGAAGTGTAAGCATATATGTACCGGTACGTATAGGAAACTGAAAAGGAAGTGAGCCAGTCACTTCCGCTCAACTTGATGAAGAAACTGTTTTGATACTGTTAGCAAATCCGGTTGATACAATTAATGCAGACATGGTCAGAAAATATTAAATCCAAAACT